CACCCTGGTTCCTCCCACCCCCTATTTGAGATATACCTTCTATTGATGCTGCTGGCCCACTCATATCCCATTGCATGTCTACCCCCTGCTGGAAACCGGGTCCAGTATCCCTCTTAAGCAAAAACTTGAGATGAGTTGCGGAAGAACACAGGTGCTGGAAACCAGGTCCAGCGTCCCATCACTTTCTTTTGTGACTAACAACCCTCGCAGTGCTAGCGGCGCTGGAGGAAGCAGATGCCACTAGCACCAACAGTGACTCAGGTCTCTGTGCCCTGAGAGCCAGGGGATTGATTGTACAGATCCTGTGAAATACTCAGTAAAGTGGCCTTGTGTGGGCATGGGTGAAAGGCTTCGGATAGACCGTTACGGACTGATACTAAGGGTGTCAGATAGACCGTTCCTGACTGATACTAGGGCCTGTCACTAAACAGACCCCATAGACCGTTCCTGACTGATACTAGGGTCTGTCACTAAACAGACCCTACCAGCAGACCACCCATGCCATCCTGACAGCTGTCCTAGCCTGCCCCATATCTGCCCAACCTTGTCCCTGCTATCCGCTACCAACCTGCTCTGTGCCTCCCCCACATTGCCCATTCAATCCGCTCCATACCATTGGATGTCTACCATAGCCAGGTTGTGAGGCGGGAAAGGGTCGGGAAAATCTGATGCCGGTCGCAGTGGAATAGCCTGACCGACAGTAGTCCAATCCTTAAAGCAGATCCGGTAGTCTCTCTTGAACTCCCCCAGGTTGCACACCTGGGTGGGCTGTGATCCATCCCCCTTCCTCACTGCCCAGCCAGTCCCGGAGAATTGGTGTATTCCACGTGTTCGCAGCCCGTCAGGGGTGCGTTTTATGCCCCTGAGAACATTTTTCGTCGTCGTTCGCTTATAAGGTCGTTGGAAGGCTGGAAAAACAAGGCATGGCAGTTTAGGGGGGGGTGGCATCTTATTTGAAACTGCAGGACCGGTAGCTGACCATGGGACCGCACGGGTTTTGGTCCAGGACCGCGTAGGACCGGTAGCTGTGCGTAGGAGGCCGAGGAGGCTGCAGTCCTTTTTCGAAATTGAAAAGGTGCGGGTCCACTTTTCTCGAAGAATAGCAGAGTTCCTCGAATAGAAAACGTACCCGTTGTATTCGAATACAACCTGTACCCTTTCTATTCGGATTTCGAAAAGAAAAAACTCTTGTATTCCAATAAAATTACTTCTTTTGTCGGAGGTCAGTGCCTGCCCTTGTGCTCCCCGCCACTGACATGCTGAATGCTGCAGGTCTCTCTCTTCTCTCTCTCTCTCTCTCTCTCTCTCTCTCTCTCTCTCTCTCTCT